TGGCGGGCAGATCTGCATGGCAGATCTCCCTCTGGTCCTGTTCGGACCTGGTCCTCGACCATTCTTGTGTCGAGGTCTCGCTGAGTGCCATTATCAGCGTTCACACCCCTCCGTTCTGTCGTATTGGCAGAGTTTGCTGGATGCACCATTCTTGCGTATATTTTCTAGATCGGGATGACTTAAGATGTCCTCCCCACAGACGACGCCAAATGTTTATGCAGGAATTTGCACAACGGTTCTTCAGGAATCAAGCTCGAACCCGGTCTCCGGTTCCGACCTGAACACTAGACTGGACCTACACAAGAGGGTAAGCACTCCGACACTCAATTCAGTATAGATTGGACTCCTTATTTAGTTCGAGGTGAGATTCGATACCTGAGCGTGAAATGAAGCCCTCTATTTATAGGTGACAGATCCAACAGCACACACGACCGACGGTTACATGTCTTTTCTCATGTCGGACCTGTCTGGTTCCGAGCAGGTCGGTCCCCAATCAGGTCGAACCTTGGTGCCCATACTTCATCTTTTATAACGGGCAAACCCGGTCTCCTCGGCGGGGCCGAGGTGGACCTAAACAATTCTTTTTTATTTAATTTCTTCAAACACTAATAAGGGTCCTCCACGTGTCTTGGGTATGTTTACCCCCAAACAAATAAGGACCATGCGGAGGTGGATCAGCTTCTGTTCGATCTTCGTCAGTGTTGTTTGCAGTTTGGTTCTATTCAGTTTAGTTTCACTCGCCGGGAGAGCAATGGTGTGGCTCACCAACTTGCTTGTCTTGCTTTCTCGCATCATTTGGATCGCGTTTGGTTTGAAGACGTGCCTCCTGTCATTTCTAGGATAGTTCTTTCTAATTCTGCTATTTTTCTTGTTTATTTTCTATTTGTTTGTTGTCAACAAAAAAAAAAAGAAAGAGTAATTATAAAACATTAGCGTGACAAGAAATAACATGAACGCCCAAAAAATAGTATAATAAGAGTCGAAACTTAAAAAAAATTTCTTCACCCTCCATTTCCACTGCTCTTCTCCAGATTATAATGATATGATATGACCAAAACTGAAATGAATCCCATCCATCAGATTTTGTGCAAAATTAGTTGATATATATTCGACATATTCAACCTAAATTTTCATATTAATTCAAAATTTAAATACTTAGTTTCAAATTTAGGAATTTATTTGGGCACTGACTCTCGCTTTCATTAAGTAATTATGTATAAATATATTTGTTGGGACCGAATTGCCAAAAAAAAAAAAAACACTAAAATAAACAGTAATAACCGAAAGTAAACAAGTACTATATTAGTAGGTTAAATAACAGTTTTGGTCAATATAGTTGAGTAGTCTGTGAACTTTTAAAACTAAAGATTTAGTCCTTGTATTCTCAAATTGGTAATTAATTTAGTCCTTGAAATTTAGTACGTAATAATTTTGTCCTTGAAGTTTAAAATTTGTAACAATTTAGTCTTATTGCAAAATTTTTTGTTAAATTTCTTATATATGTAGCTCCATAAACCGATGAATGATCAAATTTACTCATAAGTTACAAAATTAAATCGTTATATGATAAATTGAAGCTTAATTTTGATGAGAATTTTCATGGTAGGAACTTAAATTGTTACAAATTTTAAATTAAATGGACTAAATGTTTACATATGAAAGTTAAAAACTAAATTGTTATCAATATGAAAATATAGGAACTAAATTGTTATAATTAAAAGTTCAGAGATCAAATCGTTATTTGAAAGTATTATTAGTATGAACGCCTACAACGACCAGTACATCAAAGTTGAATTGAATCTCTAATATCAATGTCAAATCTTACTTTTATTTACACTATGAGAATTAACTTTATAGGATTTTTTGTCTTAATTTTAATCTTAGTGAAAGAAATTAAAAAAATTATGTGTGTTAAAAATAAATGGCCGGATCAAATATCTAATGATTTGTTGAGCAAATTTACATTATTTTTGGGAACTCAAAAATAACTATTTATGTTTTTTTTTTGTTTTTTGTTTTTTTCTTTTACTTTTTGGTTTTTAGTTTTTGGTCTTATGTTTTTAAAAAACAAAGACTATGTAGATTTGATAACCATTTTTTCTTCGTTGCTTTTCAAAAATAGAAAACCAAACATGTTTGGTAACTATTAATTTTTAGTTTTCTGTTTTTAAAAAGTTAGAAAATTAATTGAAAATACATATTAGAGAGAGAAAATTTTTAGTCTCGTCCCACCTTCTTCTTCGATCTAAGAGATGTTCTTGAGAAAAATTATCGGTTTTATAATTGTTTTTAATTATTTTTAGAATTTAAAAAATAAAAAGTGTAATAAATATATATTAATTATTTAAAAAATGGAATCGGGGAAGGGGTCAGGACATACATTTCCTATTTTCGGGACCCAACCCTGCGGAAATTTTTATCATCACTAATGTAGAAACATGAAAATTTAGGGAGATGTAAATAAACTTTTGAAACATAAATTTTAGAAAGATAAATAAAAAGAAAAAAAAATTAGAGAAGAAAAAGTAAAGTCGAGGAAAAGATACATTAAAGAAAAAAATATTAGAAAGAAAGAGAAAAATTGTAGTAAAAAAATTTAGAGATAAAAACAAGATTCGGAAGATAGCTTTAAGAGAAAATAAATAAATACATAGATAAATAAAAGTTATAATAAAAGAAAATTGAACCAGAAAAGAAGATATAATTTTCAGAGGAAAAAATAGATTAACAAGAGGAAAAAAAACTATAAAAAACGAAATTTTAGAGAGAAAAAATTTGAAAAAATATTAAATTTTTAGAGAGAGAAACGAAAAAGATTTGTTAGAAAAAAAATTAAAAAATAAAGATAAAGAGATGCAAAGTTTGGAGAGAGACAAATACTAAAAAAATATGAAAATTTGAGAGAGAGAGAAAGATATTTTGAGGAGAAAAATCTAGAAATAAAAGAATTTTAGAGTAGAAATTTAACATTAAATTTCATTATCAAACTTATTTCTTTTAAATAATTCAAACTTGTTTACAAATACGAAATAAGAATATTATAATTTTTTTAGTTTTTTATTTATATTAAATATAATTGAAAATAAATTGAAATATTTGTTAACATTAAGTAAATTATATTTAAACAATTAATTACATAAAAAACCATAATTATTGTGAAAGGAAAAAAAATATAATTTCAAATTTCATTATCTTCTTGTATATTTTAAGAGAAAAATAAATCACATTAAACAAACTAATGTCAAATTATAAACTAATATTAATAATACATCAACTCATTCAAAATTATCCTCGTTAGAACTAAAAAAAAAAGTTAATAATAAGGTTCAATCAATGCAACACAGAAGTTAAAATAGATAAACGAGTCACCTATATCTAAGAATAGAAAAAGAGAAAGAAATAATGAATCAACCCGTTACATTAAATAAAACTCTTAAGAATAAGTAAATGTTATTTACATTAAATAAAACTCTTAACAATAAGTAAATGTTATTTTGAAACTAATTTGAGACCTAACACTACAGCAAATAAGGTTTTTCCGACGCTTCAAAATGTAGGAGTAACTTTTTCTAACCAAATATATGGGTAAAAAAAAAAGTGAACTTGTCCTCCTCTTCATCTCTATAGATTTAGAGGAGGATTGTGTGATTTGGAAAACAGTTAAAAAAGAGAGAAATAAAAGGGAAGTAAGATAGATTTTTGGTCAAAGTGAGTTTTATTTTTTAGTAGGACGTAGGGATCGAATTCACAATCTCTTGGAAATATACGTCAATTATGGTTGAGCTAGACTCGTTTTGACGGTGAAAGTGAGTTGGTTTGACGAATATATATTTTTTGACTTTTAATTAATTCATTCGACTCCTCGCACCTTGACATTTTTTAAATTGCCTATTACATTGAAAATACTTATTTTTAAATTTTGAAAATACTTACAAGTTTTAAAAGCGAGAATGATCTTGGTAAGCAATTTGTAATATCAATATTTTAGTTAGTTTTATTACTCCAAAATACAAAATAAATGGAACGTTTATTAATTTTAAAGTTAAAATACTAGTTTGATACCTACTTTCAACTTTAATTCATTTTGGTCTCTATACTCTCAAAATGTTCGTTTTGGTCCCTGTACCTTCGAAGTTGGATTATTTTAGTCTCTCTTCTTTCAAAATGTTCATTTTGGTCCTTATACTCTTAAAAAATGGTCATTTTGGTCCCTTAATTTTATTCTTAATCTCATTTTTTCTATCATAAGTTCAACACGACACTACAATCAATATATTTATTGAAATGTAAACATTATTTTATATTAAAGAGTTTCCGTCATGTGTAAAATTTTTATTAAAATTTTACAAATAGGAACTAAAATGATCACCTTTTAAAAGTACAGACCCCAACGAGATAGGTAATCTTGACATTAAGGATGAGCTATCATGAGAGAGATCATAAGCTCTCATCAAATAGCTTACTCAACCTCAAGGATGAGTTATTATACCTCAATGTTGAGCTCTYATCACATAGCTCTTCTCTGACCAATGGGAGGTATTATTTTTAAATAAGAAAAAATTATAGTTGGTTTTTCTTTTACTTAAATTTTGTAAGTTTCTGTAAAATTATTTAATGGTACATTTTTTACCTTAATCAAATTATCAAACTTTTTTTTAGTTCAGTCAAATTATCAAACTTAATTGTGAAGGTTGATATTTTTTTTTATTAAATTAGTGAGATTTTTATGGAGTCTTTTTCTTTCTCTTTTTTCTCCAAATTGAATAAAAACATAAAAATTATCACACTTAGATAGAATTGTGAATTTAAATTTATTATATAAACTTAATTAAACATAAAAGTTTAAATGMCTTCTTTTAAATGGAAAAACATATTTTCAATAATATAKTTTTTATTTTTAAAATTTAGCTAATTCTTTTAAATAGAAAACATACTTTCAATTTTTTTTATTTATTTTTGAACGAATATATTTATAAAACTAAAATCTATCCAGGGGCACACCGCCCCCAAAATAACCCGTAAGAGTTCAAGACAGAGCGTATAAACCATTCTAATAACAATAAAATACAGCTGAGGTRTGTGCATAACATGTGTTGATCGGATTATTCCCATTGAAGTATGCTCGTTTTGACATTTATTTATTTACTTA